ACTGTTTTCACAAAGTTTGTAACTCCCCTAAACATGACTGGAATTTCCATGGAGAATGATGGCGCAGATCTAGCCCAAACACCTTCTTCCCGAGGACTTCCAAAAGTCTGGAGCAAACCACAGAGGTGTATGAGCATCTCAGAAAAGAACTGCCAGACTCTTCTACAGGAACAGTCAGTGACCTAGACGTCAAACTGGCCACCCCTGCCTAGGAAAAAATATCAAACAGAAAGGTTTTTTCAAAACCTCTCTCCTCCCTGCCAGTCAAAGTTGGTAGCAGTTAGACAAGCCTTTTTATTAACACATTAGCACTGTGGGTTGCATTGTTTTCTTCTCTCTACATGTGGGAATTCTGGTCTTGGACCCTGAGCCAAGGCTAGAAAAGTAGCTCCCAAAGCCATCTAACTATGTCCTCATGAGCACATCCTCTCCTCAACACCACGGATCTGTGTCCCTTCAAGAATGGGTCCAAAAATAAAAGAGTCCCAGAGACACAATCTATAGACTAAAAACCCCAAAGGCTGAAAATAACCAACTAAGTCTAACAGTTTTCCCTCAAGGGAGTCTTCAAAGCGCCTTCCCAGCTGGAAAGTCTAAACACCACTGTCTCCTCTTTAAGCAGGCAGCAAACAAACAACTGGCCTCAGCCGCGTCCCAGCTTGCGCCATGGCTCCCTTCTTCCCAGGAAAAAAAGGCTAGGACAGCCCTTCTCGCAGCAGCCCCTTCTTACCGCAGTCCTTCAGACCTGAAGGCAGGGGCATGTTACAATGCAGCTTCACCTACCACGTTGGTAACTCATCCTCCCAACAGGCCAAGCACGACTCTGAGACCCAGCATGGCAAGATGCAGACTTTGTCTCCCAAGAACAAACACGACTCGTTGCTCTCAGGGTAAGTCTGGGGGGCACAACACAGCCAACTGCCACCACAGCTCGATTAGCCCTGGGACCAAGCCAAGGTGCCCTTGCTGCTGCCCTTGCAGAGGCAGCACCCAAGATGTCTCCTCACTTGACACACAAGGTTGCCTTCACCAAAACTTTTCAGGTGCCTGCTGTGGCCGTGAGTAACAGCTGCCTCCAAAAAGTAACCACGGAGAAAACTTGAACAGCTTTTAAAAGCCTGCAGTTCTAGTTATTTGAACTAATGCCAAGGACCCACTGCTGGTCAAGGGAGCTCCTCATCCACACCAGTTTAGGATGGATGCAATCTATGCCCCAGAGAGAAGTATGAGAGAAAACAAGATCTGGCTGTATCCCTTAAACACTGAGAAATTTTGGAAGAAGGCAGCAAACCATGCCTGCAGAGCCCATGAATCTAGAGGTTCCCAATGAGATGGAAATAGCAAAGGAAGATTTGAACAATACAGGCGTCTGTAATAGAAAGGGTGTAAACAGCCAAATTGGGTCGCAGAGGAATAGCACTGGGGCAGCAGGCAAAACAAAAATAGCAGGAAAGGAAAGATAAATAAAAAATTCCTAAAATATATGAGGAGCAAACAGACTGACAAGGAAACAAGAGAGCCATTGAGTGGAAAAAGGAGAAGAGCCGTGCAGAGGCAACCAGGGTAGGCCAGGGATTTAATCCAGCCCCAGAGGGGAAGGCATAGGGAAGAAAGAAGACAGATGAACTATTTCACTGCAGCAGCAAGGAGGGGAAGATGACTTTGGCAGGAAATTACAACCATCTGCACTTCGGAGCAGCAGCACAGGCCGAGCAGTTTCACGTAAGACAGGTGACACGCACGGCCTGTTCTTCCACCGGGGTGGATGGCTGCGGCGGACCTTCCTTCCCCACCCCCTAGCCCACCACTCACCATTTCCCTGCTCTGGTGGCTTGGTCTTGCCCCCAGCTCTTTCAGCTAGATGAGACTATTTTCAGATAGCAATGAGCGTGGCAGGTAAAAAGGGGGTTCAGTAATTCCTGTACTGGGGAGGGGACCAGATTCGTACAGCCCCACATGGAGATGGAAGCAGTGCCTGCCTCTCTTACTGCTCCCTGCTCCATCTGCCCTGCTAGCACAGCGGCTCCTCTGACGCCTGGTGCAGAGAGCAGCTGCTTGTCGCTGTTCTCTCCGAGACTTCTTCTGCCTCTGACTTTCCATTCTCCCCAGCTCCCTGAAATCCAGACACCACAGAAGAGAGAGTTATGTCCACTATGTTATGTTATGTCCACTAAGTTATGTCCTTCTATGGCTCCAACAACATGGGGTCTGCCCACACAGCAGAGGCATGAACCCTTGTGGTTTTTCCCTCTTACCCTCCACGCCTCACTCTGCCCTGTCTTTCTCAGCCAAAAAAATTCCGATGACAGGCAGGAAGGGGAAAAGCTGACTTACAGAAAAAAACATCTCTTTTCACAAGGTGGTTCTCAAGCTCTGGCAAAAAGGATGCTATGTCCAATACCCAACTAACAAGCCCAGGATGCACACAGCCTAGCCCAGAACACAGTAGGGCCCCATGTCAATATTCAGAGCAAGGGGGCCAGGAGATGAGCCTGGAAAGACCTAGGATAAGTAAAACACCAACGGGCAGCAGAGCACCTAAAAGAGACAACAGAGGAGGTGACAGGAGCCTGGGAAGGAGTCTCCATCCCCTGCATGGAGCTGGACACCACATGTCACTGGGTCAGCGGGAAGAGAAAGGGCCCAGCTGCAGAGCCCATCCAGTGGGCACCCGGAGTGGGCATACACTGTGTGATGGCTGCTTGCTACCGAGACGTTTCGGCTCAGGGCTGAGGATCTTCATCCCCCACCTGCAGCGAGGTCAGTCCTGCTTCTTTCTGCAGACAGAAAGCCAAGAGTCCCCCATGCTAACCCCAGCTCTTCATCTATCACAGAACGGGCCTGAAGAAACAGCAGTTCAAAAAAGGTGGTGTGGTTGTACTTTTTAATTATTATTTTTCTTTTACTATTTATCTAACATTTTTATACCCACCCAGGGTAAGCTTGGTGCTTCCAAGCCGCCCTCTGTAACTAGCAAGGCTGGTAACTTACCTCTCCAATGGAACCTGTGGCTCTCACCTAACATGATCATAGCAAAACCCAGGTCGGCAGAGACCTCAGGTCTCCGGCCTGGCCTCCTGCTCAAAGCAGGGTCTGCTCTGAGCTCAGACCTGGTTACTCGGGACTTTATCCAGGCTGGTCTTGTAAACCTCCAAGGATGCAGAAGACACAACCTCTCTGCACAGCCTGCTCCACAGCATGGGGAAAAGCTTTTCCTTCAACACAGCCTCAACCTCTCTTCTTTCCACTTTACGCACATTATCTCTCATTCTCCCGCCACTGTGAACTGCCTGGCTTCATCTTCCCAATCACCCCCTCACAGGGGCGACCCCTACCCCAAATCGCAGGTTTAAGGTTTAAACATCCTACAAAACTTGATGATAATAGAGAGGTTGGCAGCACCCGGCATCTCCCCTGTGGGGGCTGAGGCAGGGCTGAGGCAGCAGGGCGGCGGGAGCTCTGCTGATGTCCGCCCTCCGTCTCCTCACGCTGCCCCCGAGGCTCCACGGCCGAGCCCGTCCCGCCGCGGGCACCGCGCTCCCCCCGCGGCGGGAGGAGGACGACACCCGCCTGCCGCCGGCTCCGCCGCGGCCCCTTTCCCCGCGGAGGCCGTGCCGTGAGGCGGCC